CCAAACCAAAACAAAACAGTGACTAAAACAATAGGAACTAGAATTGTTTTGATGGTTCAGTGATGTCATCAGGATCCCAGTTGTCTCTTTTTCATCTTTGAGGTTGGCATTATTTTATGTCTCCCTTCCTGGTTGGCTAATTAGCAACAGCTCCAGGCATAGTCTCACATGACAATATCCAATGACTGGAAGGACTGTTTTTCTTTATATGTTTCTTTCATTAATTAACTAATTAATTAATTTAAGATTTTACCCATTTATTTGACAGAAGGAGAGAGAGACAGCAAGAGAGGGAACACAAGCAGGGGGAGTGGGAGAGGGAGAAGCAGGCTTCCTGCGGAGCAGGGAGCCCGATGTCGGGCTCCATCCCAGGACCTGGGATCATGACCTGAGCTGAAGGCAGACGCTTAACGACTGAGCCACCCAGGTGCCCCCTATATGTTTCTTTTAAATAAGAAGAAAACTCAGAGGCTAGCAGTAAATTTCCTCTAACATTTTATAGGCTAGGTTATATCGCATGCTTGTTCCTAAACCAGTCACTGGTAAATCAGGTACTGTGATTAGCTTAGCATAATCATTTCTCCTTTTGAAGCTTTTTCTTTAAAGGGTCAGATAGTGACTATTTTAGGCCATGTGGTTTCTCAACTACAATTACCAATGTAGTGTGAAGGCAGCCATAGCAATATATAGGTGAATAGATGTGACTGTGCTCCAATAAAGCTTTATTTACAGAACCAGATGGCAGGTCGGACTTGGCCTGTGGCCGTAGTTTGCTGGCCCCGCATGTGGAGGATAAATTGAAGGAAACCGTGTAAAGAGACTGGAAGACAAAGGAAGCTTATATTTCCTTAGCCTAGTATCAGTCCATTATGAAATTTTCACCCTTCTGTACTGAAAAAGTCAGGAGGCACAATTTATTCAATTTTTTTGAATATTTAAAATTTTTAAAAAAATTTTATTTATTTGAGAGAGAGAGCACAAGTGGGGCAGAGGGGCAGGGGCAGAGGGACAGGGGCAGAGGGAGAGGGAGAAGCAGATTCCCTGCTGAACAGGGAGCCCGATGCGGGGCTTGATCCCGGGGCCCTGAAACCATGACCTGAGCTGAAGGCAGATGCTTAACTGACTGAGCCACCCAGGTGCCCCCTTTCTTTCATTTTGCTCAAAATTTCTTTATTCATTTAAGAAATAATAATAGTTGGTGGCTTTTTTTTCCCCTCTGGAAGTCATCAGTTAAGAGCTCATGTTTGAGTAGGGCAGTGGC